TTTTTTTATTGATGTATCCGGGGTGTTGTTGCCCCACTGATGGTTAGTCACTTGCGTGAAGAACCAGGGAATGTGTTCGTGGGTCTACGGACATGGTTTGGATACATTAGCCATACGTACAAGTGTGACGCAGATGGTGTAGAACCTTTTAGGTAGGGGTACGGTGATGATGCACCGGGACCCCCTTTGTTGAGTGCAGCAGCCGCGCTGCCACTCTCTCTTTCTCCTCCTGCTTTCCGAGCACGACAGCGTCCTGGGTACGGGCGTTGTCTCACCGTCTGAAGTTAATACACTACACAAACAAGTCCCGATAAGTACGGGGAGTACGGCCGACAAACAGTCGTCGTCGTTGTGGTTGATGTTATTGTTGCTGCTGCTGTCGTCACTGTTGTGGGCAGAGCCCAGCAGGAGGATGAGTCCCACAAGCAGGAGGAACAGCGTCTTCATGATTCCTGCGAGATTCATGCTTGAGTAACGGAGACGCGATTTCCGGGGAATAGTCTAATCATGACCACTACTGATAGTGACCTGGTTGTATCTTGTTCGCCGGCAATATGGGCGGTTGGGACAAAAAAAATCCGCTGTCGAAATCGGATATCTCATCAATGGCAAACCGCACCACCTGAAGAAGAAGCAAACTCTGGAGAGTACGGCCGACGAACGAACGTGAGAAGGAACTTGGGGATGGATATCGTTAGAATTAACAGCCGTCTTATCTAAGACCTCCGCCCATCTATCTTTGCCCGCCGATCTACGCTACGTGTAGTTGAAACAAGGGCGCCCGGTACTGGTGGTACGACTATTTCCAGGGGGAGATCAAGATACAAGTATTGTATGATCGCGCTTGCTCTAGTGTGTTATTATTAATAGCATCGACCGCGCCAACCGGCTGACCAATTAAAAGACGTCAGTGCCAGCGGGTAAAAATCAAGGTCCCTGGAAGGGAGCCGAAACTCGAAAAATGCGCAATGCGCTTGCGAATGCCAATACGACTCTCTCTACATGTTCTTTCACGTAGGCACACATCTCAGGTACACAAATGCCCTCGCTCGAATCTAGGAAGCCACTGATGCTAAGAGCGAAGGACAGCAAAGGGTTTTTTCAAGCCCAGCCGAAGCCAGGATATCGTGGTATGCTGCATCTCCCAATTTGATAATCGTGCACTCCCAAGTGTCAGCAGCTAGGTGACGGTGTGTTTGTGAGTGCCCCGGTCATTGCAGGATTTCGAAGGCATGCGCGCAGTGCACAGCAACAGTAGAACAATGATGGTGACATCGCGTGCAACATGGCAAATGACATATTGCGGGGCCTACTACTTCTCGGCACGGGCAAAAGGCAAATATACCGATATCGAATGCGTGGTTTCACGATTGTCCAAACAACGGATTTCTAAGGGCTTGGCAGGGGACAGGTCCAACCCATCATAGATCTCGCGCAACTCAAATACCGAGCAGCAAAGAGCTGCCAGCAAACAACCGAGGGGACAAAGGGGTGCCCAGGATGGGAAGAACGGAATGGGGTTGACCATGAAGCCGGTGATATGCATAGGGGGTTGTGCCAGGAGGAAGGAGAGTTACACATTTTGTGCTCACAATGTGCGGTGGAGGGTTGGATCGGGTCTGCCTCTAAACTACAAGTCTATAGTCTACATATGAATCGCTTTGGTCCGATGCCTAAAGATGACTTGCTTTGTGCCCAACAGGCAACCGGTAGATGCCCGTGGGCATCGCCGAAGAAGTGGTGGGGTCTTGTAGAAATAACCAAGATCCCCTCGCGCAGTTGCTTGGATACCGGCGCTTGTCTCCTGCCCCTAGGATTACATCTCTCCACATGGATCCATCAAACATGTTGCTGTGTGCGTCTCGCCCGCCCGACCGAGTGTCCGCATACTCGACCGAGTGTCCGCATACTCCATAGATCTGCAAGAACCAAATTAACCCGCTACTTTCCACAGGTCCAAAAGCGACGCCGGCTCCAAGGCGAGCGATACCACGAGCGATAAGGGACTTTACTGCTGTCCTAGAACAGCGCAGTACTGCTACTGCCTGACTGCTGTTCTTATCCCAGACCCTCCGGATCCTCCTTGTCCTACATGTGTAAATGCAATCCGCAGCTTTTGTCCCTTTTGGTGGAGGATGCTTTTCCTGCAACAACCATTCCGTACACACGATGTGCACTGTGGGCGCCAAGCACCAAGGCTCTCGCGCAACACCTCTCTCTCTCNATCGTGGTATGCTGCATCTCCCAATTTGATAATCGTGCACTCCCAAGTGTCAGCAGCTAGGTGACGGTGTGTTTGTGAGTGCCCCGGTCATTGCAGGATTTCGAAGGCATGCGCGCAGTGCACAGCAACAGTAGAACAATGATGGTGACATCGCGTGCAACATGGCAAATGACATATTGCGGGGCCTACTACTTCTCGGCACGGGCAAAAGGCAAATATACCGATATCGAATGCGTGGTTTCACGATTGTCCAAACAACGGATTTCTAAGGGCTTGGCAGGGGACAGGTCCAACCCATCATAGATCTCGCGCAACTCAAATACCGAGCAGCAAAGAGCTGCCAGCAAACAACCGAGGGGACAAAGGGGTGCCCAGGATGGGAAGAACGGAATGGGGTTGACCATGAAGCCGGTGATATGCATAGGGGGTTGTGCCAGGAGGAAGGAGAGTTACACATTTTGTGCTCACAATGTGCGGTGGAGGGTTGGATCGGGTCTGCCTCTAAACTACAAGTCTATAGTCTACATATGAATCGCTTTGGTCCGATGCCTAAAGATGACTTGCTTTGTGCCCAACAGGCAACCGGTAGATGCCCGTGGGCATCGCCGAAGAAGTGGTGGGGTCTTGTAGAAATAACCAAGATCCCCTCGCGCAGTTGCTTGGATACCGGCGCTTGTCTCCTGCCCCTAGGATTACATCTCTCCACATGGATCCATCAAACATGTTGCTGTGTGCGTCTCGCCCGCCCGACCGAGTGTCCGCATACTCGACCGAGTGTCCGCATACTCCATAGATCTGCAAGAACCAAATTAACCCGCTACTTTCCACAGGTCCAAAAGCGACGCCGGCTCCAAGGCGAGCGATACCACGAGCGATAAGGGACTTTACTGCTGTCCTAGAACAGCGCAGTACTGCTACTGCCTGACTGCTGTTCTTATCCCAGACCCTCCGGATCCTCCTTGTCCTACATGTGTAAATGCAATCCGCAGCTTTTGTCCCTTTTGGTGGAGGATGCTTTTCCTGCAACAACCATTCCGTACACACGATGTGCACTGTGGGCGCCAAGCACCAAGGCTCTCGCGCAACACCTCTCTCTCTCTCTCCCTCTCTCTCTCTCTCTCTCTCTCTCTCTCGCTCTCTCTCTCTCTCTCTCCCTCTCTCCCTCACTCACCTCCTGGAGCGTACGTACGCGGGTTGTTGGTGCTGAGCTTTCCGATGCAGACTGTGCGCAGAAAGATCGGAGAGGGCAGCAGATGTGAGAGTGACGTTTACTTTTTTACGTCCACGCGGAGGGGAGGGGTAGATGGAGAGAAACAAATCCCCGGTGTCCCAATAGCCGATCACGCCGCCACAGACTTGTCCACGTCAGGACCACCTCCCTTGGCACACGATCGATCGTTGTTCGCCGTCTTTTTGTCATTCCAGTCATTGCCCAATCAGCTTCCAAGCCTATCTAGCCTGAGAGATCCAATTCGGGGTCGCGGAGGAGAATTCCTGCTGCTGCTGTAGTCTAGGCCCGGCAGTTTTTAGTGTCCATCTCTACCTTTTATTGCGGGCGAGTCAGCCACCCGCCCCGTCACATGAATTTACAACCAAGCGTTGGTAAACACATTATTCGCCTTTGAATAGCTACTACAGCAGTAGTAGACAAATAACCTCGATCGGCAATCAATCGTCTTCGGCAATCTAGCTACTTCGGGAAGGAGGTGCTGATCCTACCGCTATTGGAGTGATACCAACCGAGATAGTGTTTGCTTGAGGGAAGCATTCTCCCCTCTCTACATTCTCTTGGTTCAACCAAATCCTTGGAATCATTTCGTGCGGTTTGCGACGAAACACATCAATTATGCAGATTGGGGCCAAACTCCAAAACCCGGCGTGTCCCACCTATCTATTTATTTGTTACGTTGAATGCGCTTGTAGGAAGTCCAGCAAATTCGCACCTTTAATGCTCAAGAAAACGACACAAAAGAGGGCCCCAATCGCATCTCCCTTCTCTGTTTTTTCTTCGATGTCCACCCAATCACGAAATGGCACTTTCTCCTATTTCACCTGCTGTATACACCACCGCCCCCACCACCACAAAACCCGAAGTGTGTGAGACTACCACACAGGAGCTGCAACGCTTGCTCGCTTGTCCTCCACCATCTACCCACCTCCGCCAACACTGCCGGCATGCTCGAAACGGCCATCGAATCGCCCCTGCCCACCGCAACCTGGTGACGATTCTCGCGCTTGTCGCCCGCCCCCCCTTCTCCACCCGCTACACCTTTTTCCGTACGTTTGGCTCAAGAACCGAGAACTCCATAATTATCCTAGCTTTGAAAGGTGAACGAAAGATCAGAGACGCACATGGGCCATGCCCGTCACCTGCATCCGGCGGTGCTGCCACGCAACCCAAACACAGCGGTAGCTTCGTGTGAAGAACAACTATCGAACCCTGCAGAGACAAGGGAGAAGCACCGCACTACCGTACCATTGCCGGGGATTATTCGGGAGGGGGCGACAAACCACGTGGTACGAGCCCTCGCGCTGCCACCTATCGTCTTTTCCCCAGCGTGCATGCGTGCTGCGGGGTCAGCCATCCAGCAGTGCCAAGGCTTGCATGCGCGAAATATGTATAACCCCCTTTCTGCACACACGCAACTCCCCCCCCCCCGGGGTTACTTCGATGCAAGGACGAGGGTTCGGCAGTCGCCAGCCCTCTGCCCTCAGTCGTCCAAATACGAGGAGGCGCTTCTGCAACTCCTGCCTTGACAAAAGATGCCGAGCAGAGCGGGCGCCATTCCCACACGCTCGTCTACTCATTCACGCCTAAAGCCGGCCAAAACAAGGAGCCACAAAAAACACGAATCATCATCATACGTGGTGACAACAGCTCGCCATTGGTGGGGTGGTCATCGTCACAACCACAACCACCACCACCACCCAAACGCCGCCACCGCTGAGCACGGCCTCAACAGCTGGCACGAGAAAGCACCCGAGCTACTCCTCCTTCCCCGTCGTCCATTGCGGTCTAAACTAACCAATCAGCAGCCAGGCACCTCCCAGGTCAGTACGTCGAGTACACCGTGAAGAGGTCTGACTTTTGCTTCCCCTGTGGCAGGGATCCCACCAGATCTGGCAGAATATCCGAGATCACACCCTGGCGGGGCACGTCACAGAAGGGAGGACACAAGCAAGCAAGGAAGGAAGGAAGGGTACGGCATCAGGGTCACGGATGGGGCATCGCCGAATAGGTGCGTGGGGTAAAAAGGCAGTCAATTTCGACAGGGGTTCTGCGGGTGGGGGACAGGGGGGGGGGGGGGCCCC